CAGGCATGAATTCAGTGTGGCGTGCCAAAAGACATCCAGAGACTAGGTACTACCTTCTTTTCTCTGAATGAAAAGCTCCCAACTCCATTCCTCCCCGCTCTCTGTGCAAGACAAGCCTAACCCCCCAAATGTTTCCCTTTGATGGAAGGGAACTGAGGTTTAAAGCAGCCAAAGCCTCGTTTCGTACCGACTTCACAGTACAAAGGCCAGGTCTCAGCTCTCACCCAGGGCAGCTGAGCTTGGTTTACTTGAAACACTGCAGGGGGAGGTAAGCCCTGAGACGATAAGCCAATTGCCTCCCGCACACCCCACATCAGGGACACAGCACCAGGCTGAACTTGTGTCAAGCTTTGCCAACCCACCGTGACCTCTCGTGGGCAGCCAGGCGGCCGGCATTCACTCCCCGCACAGTTCACCACACCGCTGGCAGCATACCTTTCCAGTTCCGCGATCTTCTTGTCCTTGTCATGCTTCTCGTTCTCCACCTCCTTGAGGATGTCCAGCAGCCGGTCAACTTCCGCCTGGGCTTTGCCACACTCATCTCGGTAGTAGGACGCCTCCTTATCAAGCTGCTTGATCCTGTCGGCAAACTCGGGGTTCATCCTGGAGTCATCTTCAGTGTTATGAGCCTTCAACATTACATTGTTAGAGAATACAGTTATGTCAGCAACTTGGAACAATAGAGAGTGCAGTCAGCAGTGGCCCAGCAGTTCATTTTGGAGAGAGAGGAAAAATAAAATACAACCACAATGCTCAAGAATTATGGGTAGCCTGTCAGCTGAAAGGCAGGAGGGGAGGAATGGGGCATTTCAGCACTGGAGCAATGCTGACGTCAAACTGTGTGCCACTGGATGGAGGGGTTTCTCATAGCATTTACATGCCATTCAAATAGATGCCACAGTTTTTTTCTTTCTATGTTCTTCCCCACAAAGTGGGGAACGTAGCGACTGTGATGTCTTTACTTCTGGCGATTTGGCGAGGACAGCCAAGCCGGCACGACTCCTCCTCGCGGCCGGGGAGGTGAGTCATCTCAGAGCCCAGATGCCTCCACTTCCATCGCAGAGCGACCAGGACAAGGTGCAGTTAAATGAAGTCAAAGACCATCCAGGGCATGTGGAGAGCCAGGCCAAGTGCAGGAGGTCAGTGCGCACTCCATGTCACTGCGACCTTGCAGCACAGACGTTGCTGGACAGGGAGACTTGCAAGGGAGGAAGGCTTTTCAGCTAGCAGTTTTACCCATAAATTCTTGTTGTCCTGCTTCAATCTCACCTGAGCCAGGAGGAAGATGAGCTAGTTCATGAACAAGCACACGGACCAGAATCTACAAACACATGCATGAGTGGGGGTGGGGCAGCATTACACACAAGAACAGACACGACAGGCAACAACACACCAGCAACACTGCAGGATCATTTGCAGCCAAAGGGTTTGTGGTTGTGTGTGTGTGTGTGTGTATGGTATGATCTTTTTAATGTTTTTTTTTAATTCTTTTTTCCCAAAATAAACTTTTGGCTGAAATATTCCCAGACAGATGGAGAGAACACGGCACTGCAATCTTTCGCCTACCCCTTGTTTCACATTATTCCTAATTGATTTCTTCAACGAGCAGGCAGGGGAAAAAGCCAGTAGTTTAACAACAGTGCACCTTGAACAGAGAAATTTCAGAGGAGTCATCTCTGCACATGGCTCCCAAATCTACGCGTGCGTGATGGAAATGTTAACAGTCTATCAGGACTCCGACTGTTCTGCTACCTTATGAGGTTGAGCAGATGTTTACTGGGCCTTTTACCATTTTGGTTGTTTGTTTGGTTGGTTTTGGTTTTTATTTCAGGGAAAAAACAAGGCAAGCAAGCTACAGCTACGGTGGGGTCCGATGAATCATGCATGGTTAGAAAGAAAATAATACTAATACTACTGCTAGACATTTGACAGTCTTTGCAATGATTTAGTAGAAAAAAATTTGAAAATTAGTAAAAATAAAAATAAATTCCTTATTTGTCACAAAATAATCACTTTTCAAAATAATGTAATTGCATGTAACATATTATTTAAGCATGAGGATAGTAAGGGATAATGTGAGTTCACATTGTTCATTCTAACATTTCCTTATTCGGAAAATATGCCCCTCTGTTACAAAGCACATTGCAAACATGTATCAGTTTAACATGACATCAGGTACTGGCTGACTGCTTCTTACCGACATTTCTCAGACAACAGTTACTTCTGTTTATTTAATATTTACCCTAAGTCTCATTTTAATACATTATTGAGGGATTTTTTAGCATAATTAAAGTAATCAAAAAGGGATTTTTGAGCTAATAACATTCCTTCAATGGTTTATTCCTCTGATGATTTCATTTTAAATTTAAGTAATGGTATTTAAATTCTCTAATCTCAACTTTAAAAGTATAGACTATATATTCCATCTTAAAATATGACTTCACATACTTAACTACAGTTTGTGATTATAAGAATCAGCCCTCGTTAGTCTTTCAAGAGAAAAGAATTCAAAAAATATATATTTTCTAAATTTGGAATTAGAAAATCCAAAATACTTTTTAATTGCTTAAAAGAGAAGAGAGAAAACCCTGTCCACATTCACATCTCTCCCACTTCCACTGCTCTGTCATTTTATGACACTTAGAGACCTCTGCTGACATTTACCAAGTCGCCCGACAACAGCACCGGATCTGCAGAAGTGAGTTCATGAGCAGAGTGACGAGCAGCTAGAAACACACGAAGCCAATGAACAGCTATGCTTGGACTGCCTGCTTCTGACTTGAGTTCAAATCCCTCTCCTGGCTGTGGGGCACCCCCTGGAGTGTTCCTTTGAAGGTAGCAAGTATTTGATAAACGTCCATGGTTTATCTCAGTCGTCCAGTTTAGTGTTTACCATCAACATTATGTTTTAATAAATGGATACGGAATTACTAGTTAAGAAACTTTAATTCGAATTCTCACCTTGCCTCTTATGATGACAGGCAAATGAATTAGACACACTAAGAAGTGTGAAAGCTATAACACGGCAAGGGGAAATATTATCCACTTGTATTTTTATTGTGATTATTTAATGATGTGTATCCAGATAGGAGGCTTACACAACTAAGTTAAGTTAAATGGTTTGTTTAATTGTTATTGATACTGTTATTAACAAGTAACACTGCCTGGTCCTGCGCCATCCTCACTGTTGGCGCTACACTGCGATCCTGTCCATTAGTTAAAGAAGGCAGCTGTTAGAGCTACAGAGAAAGGAGAGTCTGCGATGATAGGTGTGTGAGCAGGAAACTTGCTTTAGCACCTAGGAGAGAAGAGGGTGACCAGGCACCAGCACTCCATGTTCAGTGAGACTAGACGAGCTGCAGTCTTTTCAACTCAACCGGGAAGTGTGATTCATGGACTCTTGGAATGCTCAGAGGCACAGAAATCCCAGGAAACACACACACACACACATGTTCACACATGCACACATACATACATGCACGCACGTACACACATACACTCACACACATACACACATGCACACACTCACATGCACACACACTCACATACACACACACGCACACATATGTACACACATAAACACACACACATGTTCACACATGCACACATACATACATGCACGCATGTACACACATACACTCACACACATACACATGCACACACTCACATGCACACACACTCACATACACATACACACATGCAACACGCACACATACACACATGCACACATATGTACACACATAAACACACTCACACGCACACACACACTCACACGCACACACACACATACCCGAACCTGAATTATTCCACTGTTGCCATTCACCTCAATGATGAAATTGATCGTGTTATCTAAATGTGGACAAAAGCCAGGTACACAGCTGACCTGAAATCTGTTAAATAATACGTGTGGGTACTAATAGTCCTTCCTTTTAAAACTGATTGTGGTGATGATTGTACAACTCTTCTTAATATGCATGAACTATTGAAATGCATGGTGTGTGATTTATATCCCAATAAAACTGTTAAAAATAAGATAACATGATAAATAAATAAAAGAGATAGACAACTTCAAAAGTATCTGTGAGTTTAATATATCTATCCCTGTATCCTCATCGACTAATTTCCAGATAAAAGAAGTCATCTTAAGCTATCTTTAATCAGGTGCCAGCGTTCTTGAAATAATGATTTTTAATAAAGATATAAAAACGGTAATTTACAAATCTCCGAAGTGAACAGAAAGCTTGAAGACGTGTCACGGGAGAGTGACTGCGTGGGCCAGCAGTGGCATCCACGCACAGACTGGAGCTTACGCAGTTTCCCTGATTTCAGACCTAGCCTAACCCGCGGAGGAAAACACTTCATCGATATCCACCAGCTGTCACAGGTACCTAGCTCACCTCAGTCTGCACAGCTGTTCTCAGACCATAGGCTGAAACTGTTACCCTCGACAGAGCAAGGAGGTTATACTGTGATCCACAGACCTGGAGTGATACTTTACCAAAAAATAAAATAAAGGCATAAACTGAGCCCTTAAAGCTGTGGCTGAGGTCATCTAAGCAGAGTGACAAAGGGCTCTCTCTATCCGTACTCAGACACTCTCCTGGGCCTTCAAAATGCTAGCGTGGGGTCTTCAATGCGGACCAGCAGGTTACTGGTGGATCAAAAGCTGATGATGGATTTGAGGCTAGCTTACACGAGTCACTGCAGGAAAAAATATGGATTTGAAATTTATATCGACCACTCCCTACACTGTGACAAATTGACTAATTCATGATTTAAATGGGAAATTCAGGAATGGTTTCTGCTTGGGGATCTGTTGGTTTGATAGGAACTCCCAGGAAATGTTGGGAAGCACTTGTTGTTTCAGTCCCAGAAGGCACCTTAAGTTGGCCACTCTGTTATGATTCATCTAGAACAGGGCTTGGTGACTTTTGAGAAGGAGAGCCAATCAAAAAGGAAGTGCCCTTCGCAACAACTTAAAAATTATTCCAGAGCCATAAACATCTTTTCACAACAACTGAAATCACCATTATCTGAAGAATAGACTTAAATTGTTTTCTTCAATTTTACTTCAGCGCCACATGTAAGCACTGAAAGAGCCGCCTTTGGCTCCAGCGCCCCAGTTTGCCACCCAAAGGCTAGGACCTTACATGGAAGAATCGAGGGCACAGATGGGTGGTGGTGATGGTCAGGGGGTCTCCTAATAGGGAGGGAAGTTATCACCCATCTAGCAGAGAGCATTATCGCTTCCAGGGGCATACAGAGACTACTGTTTCTTATTAAACAGGTGAGTTTTATGGCAGTATCTGGTTCTGCCTCAGAACATTTCCCAGAGTTGTGAGAACTCTCCAGGATCTTTAGATGCTCAGAAACCTTGGGGGCTGGGGTCGAGGAGAGTCAGGGAGGAGAGAATTTCAGGAAAGTCTGTGTTGCAAGTGAGATCAGCAAGTTTTGAGGGCCTCCCAATAATGCTTCTTGCATTTCCATATGCAAGAACATTTCCCCACAGATGGGGAAGATCAAAGCAGCTTGGAGGCTCACTCAAGTGGACCTGCACAGGTATTGTGATGTGAGCCCCTTCTGAAAGCCGCGGTCAAGGCCAACAGAGAAGCTGGCCATCGCTAGGGAG